TCCCCCCCCCCCCAAGCTTGTGAATGCAACCTTGGCCTCCTGTTCTTCCATAGACTTGGGCTGGGCTTGAGGAACTTGCGTTTTTTTACATCAGCCCTAGGCATTTGGGAAGCTTAGCTAAACTCGGGTCCCCTAGGAATAGAAGAATGAGGGCGAAAAAGCAACTTAAAGGTAAAGTTTAGCTCAGCTACTTCCAAACTAATTCACAGGACCTCTCTATGGAGCAAAGCTCTGGCCATGGTGCACAGCTCTGAAAGGAGAGGCTGGACCTCCCTCAGAGGGGCGGAAGGACAGGCTGCCTGGGGACAGCTGAGCTCAGAGAAGGGGCCGTGCCCGCAAGGCCCAGGGACTGCCCCCGGATTCAGTGTCTACAGTCAGCTCTGGTTACTGTCAAGTCACTGAATTCACTTCACAAAAGTTCATCTGTTGGGAGTTTGCAAATCATTCACTCTGATCTCAAATGTTTACAAAGAGAGAATTAAAAGGTTGAGCTGACCCTTTATCAGACACCCTGACAACGAAGAGCAGAGACCCCAATAGCATTCTTCTCACCTTGTGCTTCCCAGAGGCTGAGATTCTAGGATCTGCATCTCACGAGACAAGCTGTGGTTTTCTGAGTCATTTTCCCAGGGCTTCAGAGCTCGCGGAGCTGTATGACAGCGCTACCATCCCGAGAGCACTTAGTATGAGCTGACGATGCTGAATGCTGCGTGTGGGACATCTGCACCCCCCGGAAGTGAAAGCGGTCAGGCCACAGCTGGGACTCAGATCCCTGGCTTTGGTGCCCCTGTGCACAATCGCGGCACCGTGCAAGCAGCAGGCCGTCTGGTGTTTCCAGCTAAACTTCCACGTGTCCCGGATGATGCAGGCTTCTCCCCAGGAAGCCTTGCACTCATCGGGAGCACCAAGGGGAGCGGGTGCCGCCGGGACAGGCGGCAGCTCTGAGACAGGGCACGTGAGCACACGCTGCCAGCGCGCACACACATGCCAACATTACCCCACAGCTGGCGTGTAGCATCCTGCTCCACCAGTGCCTGGGCCAACTGCTGTGGGCACTGGAGCCAAAGGAATCAGAGACTTCTCCACGGGGCTCCCTGTCCCCAGGGGCGTGAGAGCTGCTGTTTCTGGCCTTTCCTGTCTCAGGAATAGAAAAACTGGAGGGCAGGGAATCCTCTCTTCTGTGGATCCAAACTGGAAACCATTCAGGTCCCCTTTTCCAGCAGAGATGGGTTTTGGGGGGCAATCTATTGATCAGTGCGTGACTTGGGAATATCACTCACTGTCATCAGCCAACGCAGCGACAATAAGATGTCTTAGCCATCCAACCTAACTCTCTCCTGACAGTGACCCCCAGGCAGGGCTCCTTCCTCAGTCTTCTCGAATCTATGATGTTGACATCATTTCCCTGCAGGATAAAGCCCTTATGTTTTCTTTTTCCCTTATGTTTTCAAGATAAACGTGGGAATATTTTCAACCCATGCAACCACCTAAATGGGACTTTTATAGGGGAAATTTATAGGGAAAGATTGGTGGAGGTAGAAGGAATGTAATTGTTGAATCTGCTGATGAGGGTCCTTTAGGTTTTCTCGCTTTTGTGTAGTCCATAATTTCCCATTAAGAAAAAAATCATATGTAAATTGCATTTTTATAGAAGAGCCGTGCTCTCTGGCCGGCCCGCAAGGGCTCCAGCGGCCTGGCTGCATCCTCCCTCAGCTCAGAGCTCCAGCACATATCTGCTGCTTTCTTGTCTTTTAACCTGTGTGACTCTGCATAGACTATCTTATCTCTGGAAATCTGCAAGCCCGTATCTATCTTTCTTCCTCCCTTGCTTGCTCTTTCCTTTTCATTCAACAGGCTCTTGCAAGGTAGCACAACTTGAATTTGCAATCTTCCTGCCTCAGCCTAGGAAGGCCTGGGACAACAAGTGTGTGCCACCATGCCTGGCTCCCACTAATTTTTCCCAACTCTCATTTACTCCCTCAAAACTGATGTGTAGTGTCAGCTCTTTCACGAAGTCTTCGCTGAGCCTGTAACAGGTACCATGGCTCCTCTGAGCCCCTCTACAGGCCTGAGTTTGCCAGTAATTTTCCACCTATCCCAATGGATTAAAGCATCCATTGTAGGTCTCTGTCTCCACCAGCTGTGAATTTTGGGGGTCCTGCCATATCACAAGTGCTCACTCAAGTGTCTACTAAGGGTCTGTTAGAAGGATAAAAGCTGAGCGACTTAAAGGAAGTGGCTTAACTGGTCTGTGCACACAGACCCAGGACATGAGCACAAACCAGCCACATGCCTTCGGGCCAATCGTTCCAAATCTGTGGTTTTGCCTGTAAAACAGGGCCTGCTGGGATCTGAGGTTGCTTCGGGGCACTCCCAAGGGCCATTCCTCTTCCACAGTGAGAAATGTCTGCTCGCTTGGGGACAAGAGTGAGGAAGCCACGTGCACGCATATCTGCGGGTACTGGGGGAGAATCTGGGGGTGAGGGCATCTTACAGCCCAGCAACCAACCTCACTGCTGATCCCAAATGGCCCCCATCACCCACAAAAAGCAGAAACCTCTGGGCTGGTCCAGGTAGAGCAAGACAGAGGAGGGCCGGGAGATGTGAGTCTTGGGCCTGTTTGCACACTCGCTGTGTGACCCCAGCCAAGTTACCCGCCCTTCCTGGTGAGGCCCACGCTGCCATCTGTCTGGTTCAGCGCTTCACAGGGGCTAACAGGCGCCTTCCCTAAGCAGCAGTTCTCATCTGTGAATTAATTAGGACCAGAGAAGCAGCATTCACTCAGCACGCGCGTGATGGGCGTCCTTCAGGTGCCACGCACTGTGCTGGACACAGGCCTCGTCCTCCCTCAGCAGGAGAGACAATGTCAGACGAAACCGGCACAAGTCATGAATAATAGAATTGCAATAGTCTGAGGAAAGAACACTTTCGGAGATGAAAATCATCCCAGGAGGAGAGAGCTGAGCCCTGAACCGATGGCTGGAAGCACCATGAACCCGTACGGCCTGGTGTCTCCCTCCTGCCCTTAGATGCATTACCCCATTTAAATCCACAGTGGTTCTAAGGAAAGAACTACAATGACTCCCAACTTCTCAAGTGAGAGACTGAGGTTTTCAGAGAGATTGCAGCCCGGTCACACAGTCTCTAGGATTTGGACTCACATCTTTCTAAATTTGGCTATCAACCTCCACAGTGGAAGTGGCGGCACCGCTGGTCACAGTAATGCTAGTGTTGAGGTCTGCGCTAGCTCAGCAGAGGCCGCAGGAGGCTATGCCCTGGAAGGTTACACTCACCTCCTAGACGGGAGCCAAGATAGTGCCTGTCCCAGGGGCACAGGGAGCTCCTCAGCAGCAGCAATGCCATCAGCCCCAAGCACACGTTGGTCTCCCTAGGGCTTGGCACGTGCCCACGGCCTCAGACCCCCAGCCCTGCCTGGCCAGAAGCAGTCCTGGGCCGCAGCTGTCACTGAACCAGTAGTGGGAGAACATCTGGGCCTCTGTAAGCTGTCACTCTGGGGGAAGGGGCACAGGGAGTACAGCACCATGAGGGCAGTGTGTGTCAGCATCCCTCTGCTTCTTGTTATCTGAGTCCTCAGGGACAAGACCACTGCAAGTCACAGAATCAGAGGAGGTCCCACAGAGGACCCTGACTCTTCTGTCTCTTCCTCCGCATTACGGAGGAGGAAACTAAGGTGCTGGGGGACTTGCCATTTCACTCTGTCAGGGTAGCTAATGTCATGGGTCCTGAGTCTTCCTGCGAGGGATCTGGCAGGAGCTCCACACAGAGCCCCACAGGGCACCCATGTTTGCCCCCTCCTGGGTGGGGAACACTGAGCCCCTCGCCTCTTCTATACCCTTCCCACCTGTTTACCCAACAAGGCTGTCCGGGTGAATTCCTTTAGAACAAATCTTAACAGTCATTCAACACCTTTCCTGTATATGCAGAGAAATGGCCCAAAGAGGTATGAAAGTGTCCTACATCTTGTGAATCACATACGCATGATTAGCGAACTCTCTTTCCATGCTGCCCCACTGGCCGGCCATAAAGACTTGAAAATCCCAAAGACCATACAAACTTGGCCCAAACCCCCACCAAACACAGGCAGCACCTGGTGAGCACAAGCCACAGTGGCCACTGATGGTGACATACACAGACCAATGTCCACTCCCACCTGCAAAATGAGGCCAGAGGAGGAGAAGCCCTCAGCTCCTGCATCTGTTTCTCCACCTGGTCCCTGTACCCCCAGCCCAGGCACAAGCTCTGGACCACGGCTGGGGACAGAGGTGACCTCTCCACACTAGGGCTGATCGCACGGCCCCTGTGGTCCTGCTCAGCCTCCCCTCAGACGCTCCTGCCGCCAAAGATACCGTCAGATTCCTGCCTCCCTGCCCCCACACCATGTCAGTGCCACCTCGGGTGGCTCTCAGGCCACGGCCTTTCTTAGCCCTTTGCAAATATGGTGTCCCACTGTACAGTGAGGGAAGCCGAGGGTCCCCCTTGGTCCCTCTCGATAACTGCCTGGAGCCAGGCTGACCAGGTTATCTGGTGCTCCCTTGCCTGGTGGGTTTATCTGTGATAGGGTTCATGTGCCCCCAACATGCACAAGGAGTCACCCTGACGCTTCCCCCCAAAACTGTGAAGGAAAATCCCCCCCTGCTCCTGAGAAGTTTTGTCCTCAGAAGGCACAAGCAGGTTTGATTCTCCAGGGAACGGGTCCACCTTCCACCTGTGCCGCCTGATCTTCTGCTTCCTGAGGTCAGTCCTGGTCCTGTCTGCCCCTGACCCCCAGCTGCAGCTCCCGGCTCAGGCTGGCTAGCCTGCACCCTGGGATCTGGGCCCAAGTGCCCCATGGTGTCCTCCACAGCTGCCCCAGCTGTCTGCCACCTGGTTCCTTCTCCACCTTTCAGGAACCCCCAAGACTGGCCCGCTCTGAAATCAGGCACAGAACAGATTCCCTTTGCAACCCCTGGCCCCAGCTTCTGTCCTCCCGGCGTTCTTACCTGGGCCTTCTGGGCAGGGCAGGGCTGGGCAGGGTGCCCCGGAGCGGAGTGGGCGGCCGGGGTGGAGCCCTCGCCGGCGGGCCGGCCGGGAGAGGCTGGGGAGCTGCGGAGCAGCCGAGCAGGAAGGCAGGCGCTCCGCTCAGCTCGGCGCAGCCCCAGCCCTGGAGGCTGCTGAGAAAGTTGAAGTAGGTGTGTCCGGGCCAGGAGGAGGAGGGAAAGGGAGGTGGGGGAACTGAGGCGGATCAGAGCCTCCTGCCAGCTCTCGTCTTGCTGAGTAGGGAGGGCAGGAGCCAACTGGTTTGTGGCCCGGAACTCACGGTGGGGAATCAAGTCATGGAAAATGACGGCCGCGAAGGAGCTGAGAAATCATAGGTCCCTGCTGGGTTTCCCGGAGGGACACACTGAGGCTGCAGGTAGGGCGTGCGCCAGGGTCAGCAGAGATGGCCAGGAGCTGGCACGGGTCGCTGGACGCTCAGGCCCGCACCTCCTCCCCGTCCACGCCCGACCCTGCGGACCACAGTGCCCACCTCCCGGCTCTCTGACCAGACCGTAGTGTCGCCCCTCCCCCTGGTGTGACCACCAGCAGCTCCGCGTCTGCGGGCGAGTCTCTACATCTAAACCTCAGTTTACTCTTTTTATAAAACTCGGGACTCATAATAGCTCTTCCCTCACAGGCTGGTTGTGAGGATTAAATAAGATAAAGGCTGATGAAAGGCACTTAGCTGACAAAGTCCCCTGCAAAAGAGAATTCTTACAGTTATTAGGCTAAGTGACCTAACCCCTCTGAGCTCAGACTCCCCCTGCACGAAGTGCAGTTGCAAAAATCCCCACTTTGAGAGAGACAGCAGTACAGCGCCCCACAACACAGTGTGTAGGAGGCATCTCAGCCGTGACAGATTTTATGGGGTGCCTCTCGCCGGTCTCCTCAGATGATTCCCGCTGCCTGCCGTTTCATCACAGAACACATTCAACATCATTTGTTTGTTTAGTATATTCAGACACCAGGAACGTAGAGGGACATGAAATAGTTCCGGCCTCACAGAGCTGAAAACAAGTCTGCAACCATCCCACCCGGTTCCTCCGTGCCGGTCATGAAGCCCCTCTGCAGCCTTCCTAGCAGGCATCTCTAATTACAGGGTGCTCTTTACCTCTCCCAGAAATCAGTTTGGACTCCGGAATTTTACCTGGAGTTCGATGGAGGAGCAACCCTTGGACTTGGTCAATTCCTAAGAATTCCTCATACCATTGTCGTTGCTGTTGTTATTATTACTATTGTTATTATTATTGTTAGCTTAGGTGGTCCAAGGCAAATATGACTGACATTTGCCAAGTCTGCATCCTCACTCTTTAAATGCTGTCACAGCTGTGCAGAGGTCCCTTGGGGCAGACCTGCTCCCCTTGCCGTGTGGTGGAGGATGAACTGCTAGGACTTGGTTGCCCCAAAGTTTAGTCTGGACCACGTGCATAAGGAGAACAGCAAGATTCTGGTCACATAGTTTATACCCAAGAAAGGAGGTTCCAAGTGAGAAATGTGTTGCTGGAGGGGCACGGGACTGGGCCACTGGGCCGAGCCTTCAGGTCCTCCTCTAGGCTCGAGGAGGACCTGGAAGATGACTATCTGCCCAGCCCTGCCCAGCAGGCTGGGGGAGGGGGGTGAGCTGTGTGCCCCGAGGGAAGGCCTGGGGGCTTGCCCTGAGAGGAGATCACCTGTGATCTCTGGTGGTGCAAAGCTTGCCCTGGGCCATCATCCACTTGGATGATTGCCACCCCAGTCTCCAAGTCTGATCTGGTTAGGAATTAACTGGACAGAGGGTGGAGGGTGGCTGGGCCACCCCAGAAGCCCTTTGACTAGTCATGTGTGGACTGACTGGCAACTGCCTTCCTTTGGGGCCCCTTCCAGACCCCGGTGGGCTCCAGCCAGTCCAGCACAGAGGGAGGAAGGAGGGCAGGGATGGAAGGCAGGACCGGCAAGCTGCCGGCATCCATCCCTGCCGCTCCACTCTAGTCCCCTACTCCTCTCCCAGGCAAGGCCAGGTTTGTCTCGCTGCTGGCCCAGGGCCGTCTCCTGACCCTTCTGGTCTCCAGGTGTCCACGCACTAAGAAGACACCCCCAGCGGTGCCCATGCACGCCTGGAAAGGCCTTCCTCCTGACCCCATGCCTACCTGTCTGAACATCTAACTTCCCCTCACTTCTTGCTGAGATGGTGTCTGTCCATCTTGGGACAGTGCCTGGGCCACCTCCTCCCTGAGCACCCTGACTAGGCCCTGCTGTGAGCAAGAAACACTCCCAGCATCAGAGCTGGGTTTCCTACCACACACTCAGCTCTGTGGTCTGCTAATGAACACCACCACACAGATTAGGCATTGTATCATCCTCTATTCTTTAGGCAAAGTGAGTGAAGCCCAGAAAAGATTTCAGGGCTTAGGCTAAGCTAAGATTCAAGCCCTGCTCAGTCAGGACTCCCTAACTGCTGGGCTCCTCCACCCCAGCGCTCTGGCTGAAACTTTCTTGTGATCCTCGGCTTCGTGTGTGGCTCTCTCCCCTCAACTCCTGCGCCTCTTTATTTTAACCTCTTCTGGGACAGAAATGGACCTCAGTGGTATTCAGCAAGTGCTACACATTGGTGACCCTTGGGAGCTTCAGAAACCTTGATGCCCAGGCCTCAGCCAGGCCCATCGCAGCCCTGGGGGTGGCTCCTGGGTTCCATGCTTCCTAGCACAGGGCCAGGCACGAGGGAAGCACAGAGCAGAACTGCCTCTGCTCCCTAGTCCCCTTCCTGGTCCTCCTCTCAGGAAGCAGATGTTGGACTCTGACCATTCACACCCAGCTCTGACATTTCTAAAGTTCTTTTTTTTTTTTAAGTAATTTTATTGAGAAACAAATAACAATGAGACAGTTTCAAAATCAATTAGTAGGACAATTTCAATAATTAATACATTGCATATTGTTGTCGTAGTAGTTATTCATTGTACAAGATGCAGACATGATATCCCCGAAGGCCTCTTCCATCCTTGTCAAGGGGAGTGCTAACCTTCTCTCCTTTCATACAACACTGACATTCTAAAGTTCTTACAGGGATGTTGTAGGTTCCTAAAGAAAGACCCGGGCCAAGGGTAGAACTCTTGCCTAATGTGCTCTAGGCTGTGAGTTTCATCCCAACACTGCAAAGAAGGAAGGGAGGGAGGGAGGGAGGAAAGGAGGGAGGGAGTGCAGGCAGGTGAGGAAAGCAAAAGCTGTCCTCTCCCCTGCGCCTGCGGACAGGCTCATCTCCCTCCTCTCACCCTTTACCTGCGTGCCTATTTTCTCTAGAGAAACACAGCCCTGTTCATCACAGGAGCAGTGAAGTAAAGTCTCACTGCGGGCCAGTTCAAGGTGCCCATCAAGTCATAAGCAAGATGATACTACTTCGGTGTTTAGCCAACTGGGTCCTTCCATTGCTTCCAGGGTGCGCTGAAGGTTCGGTCTCACTCGGGGACAGTCAGAGGCAGCATGTGCAGATGCCCTTACCGGGTTGGCTGAGCAGCCATCGGGGCTTCCCAGGATGCAGGACTTTCAGGGATGGAGGCAGTCACACAGGAACTGCTGGAGACTGCAGGGGCAGGGCTGCTGCTCGCCCTCCTCGTGGGCATGCCCCAACCTCAGCACCCAGCAGGCCGGCCTGGCTCCAGCTGTGGAGCCTGCAGGCGTGGACTGGTCACTCTGAGGCAGTGTGTTATGAATGTGGAATGCAAACTGTCCTTTCTAGGGCTCTGGCAGCCGGTGTTATCCCCAAGGAGGGGTCACATCAAGATCCCTGGGGGACCTATGAGACAAGTACAGTGTAAAGACCTGGAAGGCCCGTGAACAGGAAAGTGTCCAGAGGCTCCAGGGCCAAAGGGACAGGGTGCCTTTAAGGAAGATGAAGTCATCGGGGCTGAGCCCACCTGGCTGGAGGAGGGCTGCTGTGGAGAGGGAGAAGCAGAAGGTAGCAGGCAGGTGGGCTGTGGTGGCCAGGCCCGGGCCGCCAGCTCTGTGGCTGACAGACGGGACCCAGCGGGAGTGGGAATGGTGGCCCTGGCGTTGCCTGGGGGACCCGGGAATGTAATCAAACACTCAGCAGACCCGCTGGCCGCGGGCATCTGGGCTCCACCCGGCTTTCCAGCTCATCCTGACGCCCCGCAGGTGCCGCTGACAGGCTCCTGCCAGGACAGGCCTCGGACCCTGCTGGCCAACCCCGTGGGCACGCACTCGCCTGCCTTGGCTGCAGCCTGCAGTGTGTGGCCCCAGGTTAGAGCAACCAGCTGGGCGGGGTAGGCTGGGGGCTCTGAATGAAGCCAGGCCGGCTGGGCTGACTGAGGCTGGGTCTCTCCGACAGGAAGCGTGCAAGGTGGCAAGGCTGCTGCGCCATCATCCCTGTGCTCACCTGTGCTCACCTGCGCTCAGGCTCAGCGTTGGCCCAGAACACAAGTGCCGCCGCAGCGCTCTTCCTCGGCCACAGCCTGTGCTTCTAGCATCACCTCCAGTTCCTCCCCACACAAAGTGCCGACAGCAGGGTATCTCAGCCATCCTGGCGACTTGTCACAAGCCATGAAGTGCTAGGCTGCCTCAGTCACTTTTCTTTTCCCTCTTCTTTTTTTTGTTTTTGTTTTTTGAGACAGAGTCTCACTGTGTAGCTCGGGCTGGCCTGGAACTCATGATGACCCACCTGCATCAGCCTCGGTGTAGCCCCCCACATGGTGGGATTACAGGCGTGCACCACCCCACCCAGACCGATTTAGTCACTTTTCTTGTCACTGAGACACAACACCTGAGACCCATAACTTACAGAAAGAGGTTTATTTTGGCTCTTCCTTTCGGACCATGGTTGTCAGGCTCAAGTGCAGAAATGGTACAGTGGAAGGGCCTGGGCTGAGGAAAACCTGCTCATGTCATGGTGGCTAGAAGCAGAGCATGAAAGAAGGAGCCAGGGAGAGAATCAAACCCTTTCAGACCACACCCACATGACCGCCCCTGCACCTCTTCAGCGCTCATGTCCCAGGAACCAGTCACCTTCCAGAGGACCTTCCAGGGGCACATGGAG